TGTCAAGTCGGTGGCACCAGTTGAAAGGGTTAAATCACAAAAAGTGAATGTCACACTCACCATTCACTTTCAGGCCATTTTTCCCCATACAATTAAAGTGAATGGTTACTGACAAACATTATAATGACAGAACACAGAAGAATGAATATTACCTGCAAAGGCCATGCACACATGCTCATCCAGAGCACATATCTTCCTGACTGTCCTCTCCTCCTGAAGCTTTGCCACTGACTTCTTCTCAACACCCAGGACAACAATATCTTTCCCCCTGATTCCAACCTTAGATGTGCAAAAATAGTTCACAGTTAGTTAAAAAAAAAAAAAGTTTTTTTTTTTAAATATCTGAATACTGGAAACTTTTACAGAAAATAAACTAATTTAGCGTGAATGCACAATATTTTCACTAGGCTCTATCTAAAACTTAACTATGGGAACATCGCCCTCTTCCGGAAATTTTGGCCATTACCCAACACGATCTTAAAAATGAAACTACATGAATCATAGTTATACAGCAGACGCGCAATAAAACGTAATACCGAACATAAACTATTAAAATGAGATTGTATTATTTAGGGATATTTCAACACGTCGTGATGTTTGAAATGCATCTAGTAAACCCAGTTGCTGGAGCTGTAAGTTAACGTTAACGCTGTAACTTCATTGATCATTTAATTGGCAAAAAATGTTTAAAACCCATATTAATTCATTGTTTTTTAATAGTAGTGTACTAGTGCAGCATTTGAAATGTATTTACATGCATATGTGATCAAAATAAAGCGAATCAAATAATATACCTAGTTTAATATCAGGATAGCCCATGCTAATGTTAGCCGCAACATGCAAGTCACGCTTAGCTAACATATCAATCAAATTGCTACCAAACAAGCGAACACCCCAGCTGCTTCGAAACAGTCTAAATCAATCACAATGTTTATTCCTGTATCAAGCACTTGTTCACAATAATCATATATCAATACATTTTGAGAGTATATTTGTGTAGCAGTTAGCCACTGAGCTAAAACTGCGGCTCAAAATATAACCATATAAACACACTCACAGCTGTGGAGCCCTTCTTTACTGCTTCCTGAGCATATTCCACCTGAAACAGGTGACCATCGGGAGAGAAAACTGTTATAGCTCTATCATATCTAGCTGCCATTTCTGCACACTAGACACAAAAGCACAAATTAGGGTGAAATAGTTGCCTCTGACTTTCGACTAGGCAAGCAGGAGGTTTCGAAATTGATTTGCGCATGCGCGACTACAGCGCGCATTGAATGGTGGGACTTGTAATCCTCAATCCAAGGAACTCATGTGATTTTCTTTAAAGGAGTATTTCACTTTAAAAAAAAAAACTTTTGCTGATAATTTACTCACCCCCATGTCATCCAAGATGCCCACGTCTTTCTTTCTTCAGTCGAAAAGAAATTAAGGTTTTTTATGAAAACATTCCAGCATTTTCTCCATAATGGACTTTATTCGAAACCAAACGGTTCAAGGTCCAAATGAGAGTTTCAATGCAGCTTCAATGGGCTTTAAATGACACCAGACGATGAATAAGGACCCCTCAAGTCATGACTTTTGATAAACGAGTCTGAACAGGAGAGTCACGAATGCACATCACAGAAAAGAGCAAGGCGAGCATTTATAAAACGTAAGCTTTTTTATTTATTTTTTAAATGACCGATAGTTTTGCTAGATAAGACCTTTATTCATTGTCTGGTGTCGTTTAAAGCCCTTTGAAGCTGCACGGAAACTCTCATTTGGACCTTGAACCATTTGGTTCCCATTGAAGTCCAGTGAGTAAATTATCACCATTTTTTTTTGTTTTGTTTTTTTAAATAGAACTACTCCTTTAATACTCTCTCTCTCTCTATATATATATATATATAATTATTAATTAGACAATTAGAAAATTTATTACTGAAATGCTACTTTGGAATTATTTTTTTTACTTAATAAAAATAATGCTACTATTCTGCAGGGATTGAAGTGTTTATTTATTTATTTATTTTTTAATAAAAAAATTGTAACAATATTCATTATTATTATTTATTAATTTAAAAATTAAAAATAGTAATATTGTATTGTCTTTTAAATAGTCTACTTATTTGAGTGGTGCAGCTTCAACAAATTCTAAAGACATTTTGGAAGTCTTTTTTTCATTTCCAGTAAATGTTTTTCAAAAGAAGCTGTCATGTCCACTGCAGTCTATTCAGCCGCTCGATTGAACTGTGATATCATACAAGTCCTCAGCAGTTTTGAAGAAATGGAAGGCAGAATGACGTCTTTGACGAGCACCTCTACAAGTACCTAACACTTTCATGCTTCTACTTCAAAGGCCATTTTGGTGCCACCAAACCTCTCATCAATGCTTCATCAAGAGCACGGTAAACCTGCAGAGAACGGGCCACAGGTACCTTATTAAAAATGTCCTTTTAATTAAATTCAACAAATAAGAATACATTAAACTAAATATGATGCATCTGGGAATAGTGCACAGGGTTTGTGTTCCGAGACCATGGAGCAGTGTTCAAAGAGACTGAAATGCCCACCCACCAGTATTCCTTAGCTGTGTATTCCCTCAAACCAAGCTAATGAGGACCTTCTGTAGCGCTCGCGACGCGAACACTCACAACCTCAGCTTTTCTTACGGGAGTCACCTGTGTGGGACACAAGAGGTCTCTGAGCAAGTGTGACCCAGCTACTATCATATTAGCACTGTTCTGAAGTAAACCAGATTGTAGGGGATAATAAACATATGGAAAAGTGCACTAGCGTGTGTCTGTTCAGAATCATTTTTCTGATGTTTTCTGTATTATATGACTGAATCTGTGTTTAGGTGTTTCGTGATCTGTAATTTTTTTATTTAATGCAGATTGTTTTCTTCATTTTTTAACTTTTTGCCATGTACGTCTTGCGTTTTGCAGGTGGAAAGTACCTTGTTACCACACGACTCAATTACAGCTTGACCTTGGCCTTACAGAAAAACTGAAGAGAAGTCTTTTTGTCGTTTGTGATCCACTCTAGATCAGTCAGTTTTGTTCACCGACTGAGCTGGGATCATCATCATTAGCAATCAGCTTCATCTCTGGCTCTGTAATTAGCTGATTAATAAAAATTAACCTTCAAAGTTCATTAATATCACACAATAATTAATCTTGATGTCCTGGTTTAAAAATGCCCCAACTCTTTTTTCATTTCCATGAATTGGCAGGAGTAAAATGTTCATAAAGATAATTGGCTCATGGGAATTTCATACACTGCAGATAATCATGCTGCCCTGCCTCTGTTGGAAAGCATTACAGATTCCCTTGAGAAAACTGTATTTAAAGGGAAAGTTCATCCTTAAAATATATTTTAAAAAATGTAATTTACTTACCCATATGCATTTATTTGTGACAGAATGGAACAACATATTGCAGATTGTCCAAGCGGCTTTTCCATGACATTTTTATATGGAAGAGAGGCATTGTGAACATTCTTCAAAACATCTTCTTATTTGAGGTCAGCAGAAGAGATAAAGTTATGTATGTTTGGAATGACATCAGATGATGACAGAACATTAATTTTGAGAGCAATGGTAATACCTCTGTGTTTTATAAATATTTGATATATTTGATTTTGAGACTGTATGATATACTGGAAAATTGACATTGGACTTGTTTCTGTAGTTCTGTGGAAGAATTATTAGGATGAAAATGTTTTTTTTTTTTTTTTTGGTCATAGAAAAACCATAAGAACCATCTCTCTGCTCAGGATTTTTCAAAAGGTAGGCTATTAAATCAAAAATAGGGCAATTGGCTTTTTTTATTATAGCAGATTCAAGGCAAACCATTTGTTTTAGAACAGTATAATAAAAACCAGCTGGATGCCTGAATCAGAACTATAACATCTCTCATCCCTTGAGATGCTCTGATTGGCTGATATTATTTCCTTCAGGATCTCCACTGCGCAAAGGTTGCCTTTGCATTTCAATACTGTCTATTTACAGCAACACTATAGGCTATACACATATTCACAAATAGCCTAGCTCTTTATACAATTTATTTAGAGTGTACCGCAGATTCACAGCAGACAGTCTAAATCGTTAGTTAGACCCTTAATGGTAAAGTCAAACCGAATCATGCTGGCACGTCAGAACCTCAGACGTGTTATGCTATTGTGTCTTCATTGCAACATTCTGTCCTTCATTCACAAATCAGTCACAGACAAGTGTCTCAGCAGCTAATTCAAAACTCATTAGAAAGAAGCAATTGCAGAGCGGACTCCCAAAGGGATGCAGCTTTCTAATCAACGTTCCCTATACTGCGCCTCATAACTAACGTTTCCACAGAGAAATTAAACCGAGGCGTCACTATGGAAGGAGATGCTCCTCAGATGATTTCATTACCACTGTACCATATGTTTGATGGTATATTATAGATATTGACAATGTTATGGGAGCATTTTCTTCTGATTTTAAAGAAACAAAAGGAATAATTAGCTGGACGCTCAGGCAAAATGAGTCAAATGCCACGTGGATCAGCTCTACTACTGAAAACAAAAACAAAACAATAAGCAAAAGAGATCAAGTAAACACTCAGTCTTTGGCTCCTGAGGAAAATGTCTTCAACGTCTCCAACTGTGCTCAGATTTGTCAAGATAATAGGCAAACTCAAATATCTAACATCAATTTTTTCCTAAATCAAATTATTTGAGCTTTTCTAAATCACATGCTACAGCAAAAATGCATTTAGTCTATTGTAGTCTATGTGTGTTATCAGTGTTTACTTGCAATTATTTTACGGGATTCGTGTGGAAACAAAACATACAAAGTTAATTTTGACGTGTGAAACATAACTGAGAGCTATAAACTATAGCAATCTCTGAGCAATAAAACTGTCTTTTGGAGTGCCGGCATGTGTGTGTGTGTGTGTGTGTGTGTTTGTCTGTCTGTTCGTGTGTTGAGTGATTACGCATCTCTCTCGCGCGCGCGCGCGTCCCCGGTGGCGCAGAGCGTGTATGGAGTCATCCCGTTGCTGTAGGCGGGGGCGAGCCCCTTTGCCCGTGATATTAATGTGTTTTCCCGCTATGCCAGTCTATGAAACATCACGCACGCATTGGCTATTGCTTGCCTCTTGTGTTGTCCTTCGTTTGCAAACAGTGGATAGGAACTTAACCCGTTTGTGTTGACAGCTGCTGAAGTCCTTTACAATGACTCGTCGAAAACAGTCGAAGCCCAGACCTTTGAAAGGTACGAAAGGTTTTTATTTAATTTTTTTTTATTTAATCACTTGCTTCCTTTTTGTCTTAAGTGAAACACGACCGGGGGACAAATCGAATGAATGACCCCAGTTAGTTGCATAGCCTCCAGATTAATGTTGCGCAAACTGGAATTGTTTTGGACCAGAACTTTCATTTAACTTTCAATGCATTCTAGAGGAATCTTTCATTGAGATTGGTTTGTCATCACTCTTGCACGTGATAAATATGTATTTATTATAATAAATATGTATTATGTATGTATTATAATCAATGTAATATTATAGTTTTATTGGGTTTCTTGGACAACGAATTTATCTAAGCTCAGCTGTACTCAAAACTGAATGTGTGTGTGTGTCCTGGTAAACCCCATAATGTGGGGACAGTTATTGTCTCCTTGAGGAAAATAGCTTTGAAATCATTCTAAGTAATGTTTTTTTTTTTTTTTTTTAATGGTAAAAATGCAGAATGTTTCCTGTGATGGGTAGGGTTAGTGTATGATGTGTAGTGTATTAAAAGGGAATGAAATATACAGTTTGTACAGTATAAAAATCATGATGTCTATGGAAAGTCCCAATAAAATATGAAAACACAATAATAAATTGTAAGGATCCATAAATGTTGAGGATTAGATTTAAAAGGGAACATAAAATATTAGCTCCGTATAAAAAAAAAATAAAGTACCAAACATGACATATAAACAAAAGTTTGTGTACTGTTTGTGTAAAGGTTTGAAAAGTTCCCTGAGGTTTATATGTTTGCAAATTAAATCTATTAGTTTTCTATATGTCTTGTCATATCGCCGTGTGGCTCTGTTATGTCACCTTGTAATCACCGAATACAAATGTCAAATGGACTGTTTAAAGAGCAAAAATGCACACAATGGATGAAAAACAGACTAAAAAAAGTTGATATTTGTTTAGTCTTTGCTTTTTTTTCATGCCACAGGGGTGCCATAGTGTACCAAATGGTTCACCACAGATGGAAAAAAGTGCTTGATTTCTTGTTATATTATATCCGGCAGTTATGGCCATGACCTTTTCTTGCTATCAATCTGTTCTACACAGGTCAAGCTGACAGGTTAAATACCAAGGAAGATAGTGTGATTTTGGGGAAGAAACGTTGCTCCTGGGAAAGAAGAAAAGAGAGGGATGAGGAGAGGGAACATTGTGGGGAAGAGAAGGATGAAGTTGCTAAAGAACACAAGAGTGCAAGCCTAAAACAATCTGAATCATTCACCCAAGAGATGCACTGCCATGGTTCAGGTACACGCAAATTCATTCCTGCACTATCCTTCTTTCTATAGTATCCTTTACGGTGAATATTTTATCCAGTTTTTTTTTATATTTATCCCCTCCCTGTATCCCTTACACAGGCAGATTAAAAAGAAGAGAGACCTCTGGGGTTTTATGTTCAGGGTTTAGTGTCTCTGCATGTTTGTGTGACCTTTGAATTGGGTATATTTGCAATTCCCTATTTGCACAATAACAGAATGAATCATGCCTTCACAAATGATTTTGGATTTATGATATTGGAATTGCTAATCATGTGAAGAAATGTTTTTAATATGTTTTATCATTTTAGGCAGATGCATTAATCCTTTGATTTGGTGTACAATTTAGTACCATGATTTGGGTTCTGTTTTTTCTCTTGAACATGTTTAGTACTTTAAAGTAGCAGCACTCCATTTGCTCAAACTGTGAATCTGATCCTCTCACACTGACAGCAATTTTAGTCACAGTGGGACTGCTCATTATGTGGCCACATACCGAGCTAATTACATCTAAAAAAGTGTGAAAAAGAGCATCCAATTCATATTTTTGGTGTTTGGTCTGCTGTTATGAGCCCGAGTTCTATTTTAACCTGCCAGACTTCAGCAGGACAGACCTCTTGAAATAGAAGAGTATTTCTTGTGGTTAGGTCAAGGTACAAGTCCCAACTCCCAAAATAATAGTTCGACTGCAGCTATTGTTTTAAAAAAGTAGTTAGCTATACACCAATATTTACCAAAACGTAGCAATATAGTTCTCGTAAAAAACAGTATTTGTCTTACACAAAAACAGTTAGGATATGAATTAGGGTGACAGCAAAAAACAGCAGTGTCACGTTTCAGTTTTCCTTGTTGGAGAAAGTATCTTGTTACTGTAAAAGCTGCGCTACTTTGACAAAAGAGTTACATTACTGAACATTTACTTAAATTAGTAACATTGCTTTATTAAATTACTTTTAGTTAGTTACTCCCAACACTACTGGTGTATTTAGTGGTGTGTTTTTGGCAAAAACTTTTTTATGAAAGTTGTAAATGCATTTTCCTCTCTTCTCTTTCCATAGCAAATCATAATGTTGAGGAAGATGAAATATGTCGTTTAGCTTCTCTTTCCTCTGCTCACTCCTCCATTGATCATGAAGATGGATGTGAGCTTGGATTCAAGGGAGACACATATAGAGATCATCAGAGACTTAATCAGTGCAGAAGGGCAAACACCCCTTTGCCTGGCAACAGTTCAGTACCTCTCGAATTATTCCAAACGGATGTCAGCAGTGAGAGCCCCACGAAAAGCAAACAGGGCTTGAGTAATCAATATGAACAGGGCAGTGCTACATCCTCCCGACATCTCTCTCTTGTAAATAATCCGCAGAATAACATGGGGGAATCTGAGAAAAGACAACCTCCAGATTTTGCTGCACAAGATCAGTCATGTTTCTCAATGCCAGAATGCACTTGTGCCACCTCACACATGTCCAGTCCAGCCACTCCAAATGCTCCAGGAGTATCTCCTTGTGCAGAAAAGAGAAAGTCTCAGTTTGTCTCAAACAATTGTTTAGGAATCTCCAAAAAGCTCAAGGTTTTCAATGATTTTGTTCATTGTCACAACTGCATGGACCATAGAGCATGTCCACAGACCCCACTCAAGGACAATGAAATCCACCCAAGTTCTGAGATCCTGACCTTTCCATCGGAACTAAAGGAGCACCAGAAAGAGGCTAATGTGATGCTAGATCACTCCGTGTTGCTTGAAGCTGCAATCACAGCGGCCGTTCAGACAGTTCTTCAGTGTAGCTTCTGTCCCACATCATTAAAAGACCTGAAAGCCCTTCAAGAGCATGTTCGCCAATCACACAACTCAGCTTTAATCGAAAGCAACGTCTTTTTCTGTTCCCAGTGCTTCCGAGGATTCCTGACAAAGGACACGCTAGATAATCACGTGCGGCAGACACACTGTAAAAACCAGAGTCTGAAACTTGATCCAGATGCAGAGGAAACAGCAGAAAGACAGTCTTTGCAATTCTGTCCATACTGCACCCATTTGCCTACATTTAACAGTAAGGTAAAACTGATGCAGCATATCAAAAAGACACACAAGAACATTCATTTGATGAACCTTAAAGAAGGAAGGAAGACAATGGGTTCAACATCACCCCAATCAATCAAGAGTGTGGCCCAAAAAACTAGCTATGGTGCATTACCTTCAACCGACTTCATCTGTGACCACTGTGGGGCTAAATACACCGATCTGGATCTGTTTCAAACTCACTTGAGTTCCCACCTGAAGAGTATGCTTCCAAAACTTACATGTCCCGAGTGTTTCAAGGATTTCCCAAACCAAGAATCTTTTAAGGAACACACAGTGTCTCATTTTAGCAATTCATCTACGCTTTACATCTGTGAGAGCTGCAGTAAGTCCTTTACCAGTGTCAAAGACTTACATGGGCACCTACTTGAGATGCACACCGTTGTGTTTTACCGATGTTCCCTCTGCCAGCAGATGTTCGACTCCACGGTGTCTATTCAGGTTCACCTGGCCTCCGAGCACAGTAACAAGAAAACCACATTCCACTGTACGTCGTGCGAATGGGACTTCAAGCAAGAGCATGACTTGCACCTGCATGTCAAACAGAAACATCTTGACAAACAATGCAAGATGTACTGTTGCATCTTCTGTGCAGAGTCCTTTACCACAGACATTGAGTTGCAGTGTCATATCACGACACATAGCGACAAATGCAGTCCCTGTGTCTGTACCAATACCAGATCTCCCCTCGAGGTGCCCTTACACGAGAAACTCTGTGCCAAGAGTGCTGAAGGTAACAACGTGACCCCTCCACCTGTCTCCGAACCAGTTGCCAAAGACAGCGCTGGAAAGCTGCCAGTGAATAGTGAAATAAGAGTCGGTAAGGTGGAATCGCTGTTTAGCCCTCCCACCGAAAGCAAAGGGAAGGCAAATCTGAACGATCCTATGTTTGCCTGTGAAATCTGTGGTGCTTCTTACACCATGCAGTCCTTGCTCGCCAACCACCAGCTGCGAGATCACCACATCCAGCCTGGGGAGAGTGGCACTCTCAAGCGCAAAGTGGAGGCAATCCAAGGGAGCCACAAATGCAAAGACTGTTCCAAGACCTTCTTCACTGAGATGGCACTGTGGGAGCACGTCCAGACTCATCTAGGCCCCACCAAGCACTGCCAATGCCCCATCTGTGGAGAGCGCTTCCCTTCACTGCTAACTCTGACTGAACACAAGGTCACCCACAGCAGGAGCTTGGACACAGGCAACTGCCGCATCTGCAAGCTTCCTCTTCGCAGTGAGGAGGACTTCCTGGAACACTGTCAGAGGCACCCCGACCTGCACAACTCGCTGACAGGCTTCCGCTGTGTGGTGTGCATGCAGACGGTCACCTCCACTCTTGAGCTGAAAATTCATGGAACTTTCCACATGCAAAAGGTCCAGGGTGATGATCTGATCAACAGCCGCATGGATCCCTCTATCCTTAATCCTGACCTTAAAATCTCCTCAAGTGTTGCTCAGCAGGAAACGGTCACTATGAATGTCAGTACATTTGAGCATAGACTCCGAGACGATAAGACTAGCATTTCCGTAGTCAATTGTTGTTCGGCTACGGCACTCATACCAGAGGAGAGAAGCAATAAGAGCACTCTCACACAGACCACAACAGTTTGAGTTAACCTTAAATAAAGGGCATCATTTGTAAAGGACAATATACAGGGCTGGCGCCCAGAGTGGGGGTTACGAGTTACTGTGCCCCACTCCCTCCCGCTGAATGCGAGTGAGTGAAAGTGCAGAGCGAGCATGCATTCGAAATTACAAACGCACCCGGGTTGGTTGCTTTCCTCTACAAATGCGATGTTTTTAGTGCCCTGGCACCAGCTCCGACAATATATGTACTCTTCTGATTGCTTGTGTACTGGAGTATGTTTTCACTTGTATTTAGACCCTAAATGTGTGAAGACTTGTTTTGGAGAGGCTGTTTTCTCCCTAAAAATCATTTTTCTTGTTTGAGATGCTTAGCAAATGACTAATTCTCCCAAGTGCAAGTCTTATCTTCATTGGACACTTCTGAGGCTCTGAACTCAGATTTACTGCTATATTTGGAGCATTTCCTCTCTCTTCGTTGCATTTTACGATAAATCCTTGTGTTAATAAATGGAAGTGGATCTTTGTGGATCTAGACAGTAATGAGTTGCTGATGACTGAAACTGCAGATGCGCAGAGGGGCACAAAAGAGGATGAGATGTGGGCCGTGGGACTTGATGTTCTGAGGGAGAGAGTCATTAGCAGTGTTTAATCTAATTGAAATCTGAGCGGACTCTTGGTAAACTTTATGGATTAGATGTAGGGCTTTTGGACAATGACATCTGATAATCACAAAACAGTTGTAATGTTATGTATTTTTATTTTGTATTATGTATTTTTAGTAAAATACCATCATCTCTACCTTTTTATAATTTTGAATCACAATTTCAATGTGTCTTGTTAGTTGTATATCTGTAAATGATGTTCTATTGCAACAAAAAAAAAGTAAATTTTGTTTATGGGTAAATGTGTGTATGTGATGTGTTTACATTTTCAGTTCTCCATTGTTGATAAAAAAAGTAAAAAAAAAAAAAAACTTTATCATCTTTCTGGACCAATGTAGTTCAATGATTGTGTATTTTCTTAGTCTTCGGTAGAACATCTAAAAAAAATCATAAATTATAAATAAGATTAATATTGTTTATGACACTAATAAACTGAAATAAGTTGTTCTGGTTGGGAAAAAAAGGTTTTAACATTTTTTTTTCAGGATTTTACTTCATTCAAAGTGTTTGTCCATGTGTGTATCTAATTATAAGCAGTGAAACTTTCCATTTAATTAACAAATTATTTTATATTTAACAAGTCAACTAAATGTGTGCAGTGCAGCACAGAGTTATGTTTTTGCATGTTTTAGAGAATGTAAATTGGGTATTAGTGCCCTGAAGCTGCAGAAAACTGCTACCTCATTTGGAAATACCCCTCAATCACCATGACAGCAGCTGGGCTTTGACCGACACGGGAAGGAAAAGCGACAAAAATGTGTGCACGACTGGACAGTAAAAATGCATTTGTCATAAATATTACAATATTATTATTACACCCAGCCATACATTTAACTGAGTGCAGGGTGTTTTTTTTTTTTTTTTTTTTTTTTTTTTTTTTTTTTTTGTAAATAGGCCTACTAAAAAAGTCAAAAACTTGACAGGGTTAATGACCCTGTCTTCTCCAGACTGATTCCATGCTATAGAGACAGATGATCATACAAGAAAATAAATACGAGTTGGAATTAAAACATGAACTTGGTTTTCCTTTTGTCTGTCCAGGCTATATGCCAAGATAAAGTCGGCTGTGAAAACATGATGCCCGGACCATCTGTCAATAATAAGCGTCTCTCGAGTGAGTCGATTGAGAGGAGAAATGACAAAAAAGACAGTGAAGAGTTTTTAAGGTTGCAGGGTTATGGAGTGTTACTGGCACAGAGACGGCAAGTGTTGAGTTTGATGGTATTTAACATTTTTAATTCTATAAAACAGAATTGGAAAAAAATAACATAAAACCTAGATTCTAAGTTTAATTAAGCACAGCACAGACAGTGAAGTGACAGTAGTGCAAATGCCTACACTGTATAGTAAAGGCTATTCTTCTTACAGGGATAAGAGTGAATATGCCTAAATCGAGGCATGGTAAATCTAGAACTGAACTGCCATCTCAAAAATTTGAGCTGACAAAGATCCTTTATGCTCAGTCAGGCCTTGCAGGTGCACTCCAAAGAAATGTAAGGTCTGTGTCATGTCAACATCCTCCCGCATGGAAACTGGGGTGAAAGGTTCCTCTTCCTACCGATGTCCAACATCATCACATTTTTTTCACATTGCGTCACTTGGTCACTAATCATTCCTCTGTTCTCCCTTCTCTTCACGTCTTACATATCCAACAACCCCATATCCCGCCTCATCTGAGTGTCCTTCTGCAAGCGACACCAATGACAGTTTGATCCAACTGTCAGTTTTCATTTTCTGGGTTAAATGGAATTCTGTCAGGCTAAATTCTGTTTTTCACAAGACACAAAACATTTGATAGCCTAGTTCACGCAAAAATGAAAATTTTGTTATTAGCTACTTACCCTCAAGTTGTTCCAAACCTGTATGAGTTTCTTTCTTCTACTGGACACAAAAGAAGATATTTTGAAGAATGTGGGTAACAGTCGACTGAACCCACTATGGAAGTCAATGGTGCCGTCAAAAATGTCTGGTTAACATTTTTCAAAACCACATATTTTGCGTAAAGATTTCTATAATGAAATGGTTAATATGGTTTTAGTTAGAATTTTTTATCATTTGATTTATTTGTTTAAAATTGGCAGAAAATGCCAATGTAACAGTAGTGATGGCTGATGGCCATTCTTTATAAATATAATATGCACAAACTGTAAGTTATGGCACTGTTGTACAGCCCATTTGATTAGACTATGTGCTTTAATGTACACTATAATTTCTAATACATTATAATATATTCACATTTAATTTGCAATTAGGTCATATAAAATGTTGCAGCATGACAAAGAACATTGTGGAAATAGAAGGAACGCATCAAATCAAATGAAAAAGCAATGACTGTCCTTTCGCATGTTCACATCATGACCAGCAGGTGGAGGTGCAAGATTGTGTGCTCAGTAGCCTAAATACCGAATGTGTGTCTTTTATTAGTATACATATTTTACGTACTTCTCGACGTTGTGAAGCTCCTTGTTAAATCAGTTGTGGCAGCAGTTCAACAGTTTTCCTCCATCCGTCCATCTCATGTGGACTTGATAGCACCTGAGATTGAAATTTAAGAGGTCCTTGCAGTCAGCTGTTTCCCGTTATGTCCCATCAAGCATAATTGTTTCAGGATGTTCGTGCAAAACTACACTTAAAGGAATAGCAGACGATTACGCTGTCGCTGACAGTAATTTTGAATAGCAAAAGTTATAGTAAATGTATTTACAATAACTGTTCAGTAAAATAGCAATTGACTGCATTCAAAAGTTAAACCCTAAAATATTAATTGCACGCATATATATAGCCTATATACAGCCTAGGTCTACTATATATATATATATATATATATATATATATATATATATATATATATATATATATATATCGGTTTAGAAGGGCATGGAGGCTTATAAAGGACGAATTTTATTTAGGCCTAATTTAAATGAAAAGTTCACAATACTATGGATTGACAGGCGATCCCATGAGTGATGAATTCCCACAGCAATGTAGGTTGGTCTAAAGCTAGGATGTTTTCTTTAGAGCCCTCCTTTGTTAATGCATTAATAACACATTTCATGAAGCATATCAAGAGGGATAGGCGACTCAAAGAAAGAAAGAGAGAAAATTAAGAGCCAACGGAACAAAAAGAAATGGCTTTGAGAAAAACACTCAAGCTCTGGGGATTTGTTATAGATTTGAAAAGAACAAGGCCTAAATTAGTGTAACTGTGTTAGGCCAAACAATGGTATTGCAAATAATACACTGTTATATAGGTTACTAGTCAGCCAAAGATAAGCACACGTTTTTCTGAATTCTCGTGATCAAACACATTTCACAAAAGTGACTTTTGTTTCACACATTTGATGTGAAAAGTCTTGTATGAGTAATGAGTTGCGTGGAATCGCATGACGGCAGTGCCAAAACCAAAACAAGACAAGTCAATCAGTCGGTCTCCGCCAGATGCCCAGGGCTTCACAACAGGGGCGGATACCACTGGCCTTATTGTTTGCTATTGGCTGAGTAGGCCTACAGCTGCTGGCTACTTAATTATTCATTGAGGGAAGGTCCAATTAGGAACTTATCTTGGTCACGGAGTTAATTATTCAGGAAATTTACGGAGAAAGGAGAGGGCAGACATTCCAGATGATGTGTGTGTGTGGTTTGCTTATAGCTTTTTCATAAAAACGACACCAAGAATATCACATGCATGTTAACACTCAAAAGTGTGACAGAGGAAGGATGCCGCTGCACTTGCTCAACATTTAATCGGCCGATTTACTGTGGTCAGCAATTTCTCAGCAATTAATGCACACCAGTCACATTTTTTTTAAAAAGCACAAAAATGGTCAACACATCAGAGATTATTTTTCAGCGATCCAACTTTTAATGCTGAATTGACAAATGATCATGTTAACTCATTTAAATTACTTTTCATTGTGTCCTGAGAATGGAGCTTGTGAAACACGTATATTAAACAACAACCTTTTCAGCTAGTTTATGCCGAGTTGATAGGATTTATGTTACTCTCTTGTAATCTTGAGTTTATTTACAGTTTCTTAAAAGAATAGCATTATGTGCAAATTGTCCATCATAATTTACTGGTGACTGTTTGAGAAAAGATTGACTCCAAAATGTTAAAGTCTAAATTATAAACAAGACTTGGGAAAATAGGACAAGTGGGAAAATCAAGCAAAACAAGTGCTACACCTAACAAAGCTTGAAAAACTATACAATAGATTGTGTACCGAGTCCTGAAATATAACATGAAAACAAAATGACAAAATTCATCATAAAACAAAACACATCCATTATAAAACCTTATATAAAACCCCCCAATATTTTAAGTAATATACATGTTAAAGTTAAACTCAACGAACAACACTGTTATCACTAAAAGGCATGCTCTTTAACACTGACACATTAACATTTACAGTGTTACAGTAAATTATTTCAGAATGAAGACACTGATACTGTATGTCGTTTGAAACAGTCTGTCACGGACTAGACAATCCACTGACCATTTGATGATTTATTGCACACAAAAAAGTCAAAACACTTGCCAAAACAGCAAGCTCTAATGTGATTGGCTGGGTTGATACAACCTCTGGTTTTCTTGATACAACCCACTTAGATTCAGAAGTCATGTTTAGTGAAGGTACTGAGCTGCCGCATTGAACTGGATTTTCCCGTTTGCTCAGTTTGTGGCATCAAATCTTTGAATGATATTCAGAGATTTCAGGCACTTAGTTGCAAGTAAATGAAATATATCCCAGATCATGTCTGTAAATTCTTTTATATTTATACCTTTTGGATGTGAATAAAATTCTACCAATTTTATAAACATTTTCTGCTATTTTATTTTGTGAACAGTGCTCTGAAAACAAATTCAAGTATACCGAGTCACTTTAAATGGGATAGGCCCTTTCCTGTGAATCTGAGCTTCTCAACAATCCGGAGAATATGCTTAAAACGAGTCCAGTGCAAGCTATTCAGAAGCTTCAAACGTTCTGAGACGGAAGCAGATTTAGATGGTGTGAAACGCACAGAGATAATCTTGATATCCTTTCATTCTATACCCCAACACAACAACAGGAAATTCACTTCAATTCGCGTCAAGTAAAAAAAAAATAAGTATGTCCAATGCTTCTACAATTTCAGCATGGTGTGGGACAAGTCGTTCTCATTTCATTGCCCTTTTCTGAGACGGGGTCTGAATTGCTTTTGGAGCTGTGCATGTTGTGCTGGCTACTGTGTGTCGAGCGCTGACTCGAGAGGACTTTGTTACAAAGCGACGCCATGCCTCTTCTGATCTCCTGACGGATATTGTTGCTGGAGAGCACGTAAAGAATGGGGTTGATGGCGCTGTTGAAAGTCGACAGTCCCAAAGAGATTTTGTAGGGCGTGTAGATGTACTTTTCAAAGTGACACAGCTTCTGCAGGTCGGGGAAGTGGAACGTGATGGCGCGCATGAGCAAGATAACGTGGTAGGGAGCGAAACAGATCAAAAACAACGCCACCACCGCCACAGCCAGGTAGCGCACCTTTTCTTTCTGACGGGGCAGGAGGCCTGTGCTGGCCTGCACGTTTGCAAGAATGGCCCTGTTGGTGAAGATCAGGATGGCCAGGGGGATACAAAAGCCTACGCAAAACCGAGCGTAGTTGAATGCCGTGACCATCTTTGTGCTCTGGCCTGGCTCGAAACAGCGGCGACTCCCTTCGGCAGCGTCCCCTTCGCGCATGATGAAGACGGGCGCATGAACCAAGCCTACTACCATGTAGATGGAAAACGCTATGAGAGCTGCAATCCATTTCTGGCGAAGACCGCGAGATTCAATTGCATAGACCACCGCCACATAGCGGTCGATGGACACGCAGCAGAGCAGGAAGATGCTGATGTACATGTTGTTGAAGAACACAAATCCAGTCACTTTGCAAGCCATCGAGCTCCAGGGCCACACATGGTTTTTACTGACGTACACTGTCCACAAAGGCAGCGTGAAGAGGTAAGTGAGATCGCACAAGGACAGGCTGAACAGGTAGATGCCGAGGACGTTCTTCAGACACACCTGGTGGAGGGTGAGGTAGAGCGTGATCAAGTTGGCTGGCAGGCCGATGATAAAAACCACAATGTAGAACACCATCAGAGGAATACGGTCCCTCTCAAATGATATCGGACAGGACACCTGACTTCCGTTCATGGTCGTCATGATGCTCTGTGCCACAGTGGATTCATGCATCATATCTGAGGGGGAAAAATAAAGAGAGAAATTAGAATAAGCGGTTAAACAGAACTGTAGGAGTACCGAACATGACTTGGTAGAAAAAAAGTCACTGTATTTATACCCTATAAAACTCATTACTCAATACTAAAGTATTACTCACTTTTAATTGTACCAAACCCAAAAGAAGATATTTTGAAGAATTTTGGTAACCAGACAGTTGACAGTAGCCATTGACTTCCACAGTAGGAAAAAAAATAATACGGAAGCCAATGAGTGTCGTCAAATGTTTGATTACTGACATTCTTCAAAATATCTTATTTTGTGTTTGACAGAAGAAAGAAATTCATACAGGTTTGGAACAACTTGAGGGTGGGTATGTGGTGACAAATTTTTCTTTTTTTGTTTTAACTGAACAAATCTTTTTTCAAGTCATTTCGTTCATTGAATAAACCAAATGACTTAAAATGAAAAAAATATTTGTTCATTTTGCGCATCACAGAACAGAGCAAGGTGAGCGTTTGTGCTTATAAAACTCAAAGTTATTTATTTATTTTTTAAATGACCGATCGTTTCGCTAGATAAGACCCTTATTCATCGTCTGGTATCATATCGTCATTGTGGTGAACGTGAAAAAAAATCAAATAAAAAAGAAATGTGTTGACAAATATTTTTTAGACTTGTTTCTGCATTAGTGAAGCAATCATTGTCTGAGTTTTGAACCTACAATGAATATTTCTGTCTTTGATTCAAAAGTACATTTTGAGGCGCACAACATCCATCGAATTGCACAACTAAGGTGACACTTTGGCACATTTCTAAGCGATTTTGCTTCGAGGTTGACCATTGACCATTCCAATGTTTCAGTGTTTCTGCCATGTCTCATCCAGTGTAAAACACTCCCTTTCCCCTTCATTTCCAGCAAAGCACAATGCACCACTCCCTAGTTTTTCCCCAGCTAGACAAGACAGCCACTGAAATATTCATCACGACCCCATCATCCACGAGGAGTGCATCAGAACGGAAACACACTAGTGGGAACCATATGTGTTGGTAGGCTATATTGGAACGTGAATGCTATAATTACATGAATCATCATGTATCGTTCTTGCCTCAGATATTTGGGAATATTATAAAGAATGGTAAATGAGACCAAAAAGCAATACACTCTAAAAAATGCTGGATTGTTTTAACCCAACTTTGGGTCAAATATGGACAAACCCAGCCATTGGGTTACATTTTTTAATTACATCTTTAACCAAACGTTTGGGTTTGTCCACATTTGACGCAAAGTTGGGTTAAAACAACCCAGCATTTTATGAACAGTTACTGAGCAAGACGTTTTTTAAAGTTCAGACAGAAATGTATGCAGTCAAACCACCCACTTATAGGTTCATGCACAATAGCTGACTAAGAGTCCCTCCGTTTCTTTGTACTCATTTCTCGCTTTTCACTATGGGGAAAAACCGAGACCTTGCACAAGAACTCTACTGAGGATTGGGAAAGTAAAGAGTGCAAGGATTTCACTTGACCTTGTATTGACACTAACCGGAACAGTTGGATTGGCAATAAAGCCATTGAGCATATTCACGCATAAGTCAGTGGAGAGAGAGGAATGAATACATTAAGTTCTGCTTTAGTCTTGATTGTGTTCTGTGACCTACTTATAGTCATTAAATCACTGTACGGGTGTTAAGACAGACACTGTGACTTTTGGATCAGATGAAACCTTTTATTCCCTTGTCTCATATCATTAGTGTCAAGACACTGGCGATGCTCAATGTGACCATTTTTAGACGCTGCAGGCAGATTCTTGGAAACAAGCTCAACCTTATAAGAGATGATGCTCTCTATAGTATGAAGGGGCCGGCCAATTTGTATTATCTGAAAATGTATTTTATGTATCAGTAATGGAAGTCTATAAGCTGGCATCTTATTAAATATTCATGATTCCTTTGTTTAAAGCTGACCACAAAATCAACCCATATCTCTCAAGTTAATTTGATTTATTTTATTTGTCTGCTTGAAATATATGACATTTAACACTTTAAGATCCAGTTTTTAAAGCAAAGGGTCCCTGATGTTCCAGGGGGACCACAGAGAAGAAACCAACTGAAAACTTCATGTAATTTCTGCTAAATTAAAAATAAATCTCTTTGTAACTAATTATCTGCTAAGGATTCTCTAATAAAGCTGTTGTAAATAAAATAAAAAGTAGCCTAATGTTTTAAAGTTTTAAAGAAGTTCTAGGCTAAAGTTTTATAAGAAAATATTATCAGTATTAAATATTATATTGTAATCATGTAAAAAATTTACAAGAAATTTCCAAGTAAAATCTGACTTTTTTTTCCCCGCAGTGTGATAAAGTGCAGGTTAATTAAGTCATTAATGAAAGAAAATAAAGTATTTCGGGAAAATCCACGTAGCTTTTTCAGGGAAAACACTGCACACATCCTGTTTTCAGATTGTGGCATGCCACACAAAAATTATTTAGACTAGTTTAGTCTAAAAGCAAATATGACATTTTCTATGAATGTAACAAATTGCGTGGATCTTACCTCCAAATACAGTTAAGAATGTGTCCTCTCTTCATCTATAAGCATCTATCTATAAGAAGGACCAGCGTAGCAGAGCTCTTGACAGGCCCCTCTCAGCAGCGCGTGTGATGATGAAAGGCTGCGCTACTCACCAGCACATCTCTACACCACATAGCCTACTACGACCACGTGATCGTCGCACACTTCTGCTTTGCTTTCTTTGACAGCAGGCTCAAATAAGGCACTTTGAATGAATGAGAGAAGATACAAATAAACTATGCCTCTAAACACGGTGATAACTTCATTTCTAAAACACCTTTTTGGCATCAGTGGCGCGTTTTGTGTTTGTGAACGTGAGCAAATGGAGTGGACGTGGCACGCGCATGATACTCAAAAGTCAGCTCGCAGTATGAAACAGTCTATGTCGCTGGGGATTTTCTTCACAAATTTCCACAACAAAGGGAACCTAAACTAGCCTACTAATATTAAACAGGCCTACCATTTTTTTTTTAAATCTAAATAAAATTGATCTTGTTGTTAACATACAACATAATTATTTATTTTTTAATCAAGTATAAGTTCCAGGGCTTGATCACAGCATATTTCTGAAACTAAACCCTCGAAAGGTAATGGGAATCCCCTATACCAATCTGACGAATCAACTGACAAAGACTGAAAGAAAAAGCGAAGCAACTGCAAAGACTTTATATATAGCCTTACGGGTAACAGTTAATGCATGGTGTGACAATGCAAAGACAAAACAACTAATGTAATCTAATGTCCTTAAATGGAAATATGGAATAAAGTTCTTCTATGAAAAGTGTGTATATACAGTCAGGGAAATAAGTATTTGTACACCTCGCTATTTTACAAGTTCTCCCACTTAGAAATCATGGAGGGGTCTGAAATTGTCATCGTAGGTGCATGTCCACTGTGAGAGACATAATCTAAAAAAAAAAAAAAAAATTAACTATTTATTTGTATGATACAGCTGCAAATAAGTATTTGAACACCTGAGAAAATCAATGTTAATTTTGGTACAGTAGCATTTGTTTGCAATTACAGAGGTCAAATGTTTCCTGTAGTTTTTCACCAGGTTTGCACACAATGCAGGAGGGATTTTGGCTCACTCCTCCACACAGATCTTCTCTAGATCAGTCAGGTTTCTGGTCTGTTGCTGAGAAAAACAGAGTTTGAGCTTCCTCAAAAGATTCTCTATTGGGTTTAGGTCTGGAGACTGGCTAGGCCATGCCAGAACCTGCTTCTTACAGAGCCACTCCTTGGTTATCCTGGCTGTGTGCTTCGGGTCATTGTCATGTTGGAAGACCCAGCCTCGACCCATCTTCAATGCTCTAACTGAGGGAAGGAGGTTGTTCCCCAAAATCTCGAAATACATGACCCCGGTTATCCTCTCCTTAATACAGTGCAGTCGCCCTGTCCCATGTGCAGAAAAACACCCTCAAAGCATGATGCTACCACCCCCATGCTTCACAGTAGGGATGGTGTTCTTGGGATGGTACTCATCATTCTTCTTCCTCCAAACACGGTTAGTGGAATTATGACCAAAAAGTTCTATTTTGGTTTATTTTTGGCTTTCTCCCATGACTCCTCTGGATCATCCAAATGGTCATTGGCAAACTTAAGACGGGCCTTGACGTGTGCTGGTTTAAGCAGGGGAACCTGCCATGCATGATTTCAAACCATGATGTTTTAGTGTATTACCAATAGTAACCTTGGAAACGGTGGTCCCAGCTCTTTTCAGGTCATTGACCAGCTCCTCCTGTGTAGTTATGGGCTGATTTCTCACATTTCTTATGATCATTGAGACCCCACGAGGTGAGATCTTGCATGGAGCCCCAGTCCGAGGGAGATTGACAGTCATGTTTAGCTTTTTCCATTTTCTAATGATTGCTCCAACAGTGAACCTTTTTTCACCAAGCTGCTTGGCTACAGTGGAACACGCTGTAGCTCTTTCCAGCCTTGTGAAGGTGTACACTTTTGTACACTCGTTCACTCTAGTGTCTTTGGACAGCTCTTTGGTCTTGGCCATGTTAGTATAGGGTTAGTAGTTGGATTCTTACTGATTGTATGGGGTGGACAAGTGTTCAAATACTTATTTGCAGCTGTCAAAAAATAAATAGATTATGTCTCTCACAGTGGACATGCACCTACAACGAAAATTTCAGATCCCTCCATGATTTCTAAGTGGGAGAGCAAAATAGCAGGGTGTTCAAATACTTATTTTCCTCATATCCACTCATCAGGTCAGGGGACTGGGACGGTCATGGTAGGAGCTTCATTTTTAGCTCTGTAACACATTTTTTTTGTGTTGATTTTGATGTTTGTTTTGGATCATTGTACTCATGGAAGATCCAACCACGGCCCATTATAAGATTTCTAGCAGAAGCCTTCAGGTTTAGATCTGTTATCTGTTTATTACTGTACATAATACAAGTCAGTGCTGAGTGCCAAAATTGACTCAAAATGTTGCACTGAATGTTGATACCAACAATGGATGGAAACAATATAAGAGGGAGAGGAAGAGCAAGATGAGGAGAATGTTGTCAAGGCTGGATCTGCTTTAGGGTTTTTCCCTTTGCTGTCTGAGATGTGAAGAAAATCCTCAGGCCGAACGAACATGAAGACATGACGCTGAAACAGAATCAATCTCTCTCACTGACCTAGATTTTCTTCTGAGTGACTGTAAAATGATTTTCATTTAGAGTTTTTTAATGTAACCTTTTTGTCATTTGCTGTTGGGTCACTGTGTGTTCACAGTATGCAAGTGCTTAATATTCAGATATTCGATACTATACAGTGCTCAGTACAATACTATACTTACAGTGCATACAATTTATTCACCTTACTACTGTACAGTTTTCATTTTTTCATGCTTTGGATTCTGTTCTCCATTTTTGATGTAGTGTCTAACAAATGATCTGTAATGTTTATAATATTGACTTGTGTGTATGATCTGAAAGCATTGTTTGATTCTGAGCACAGATAAATCAGTTTTGAGGCAATTGTTTGACTTTGCCAGAAGAGTCAGAGGTTCTCTGAATGTGGTTTGAAGAATTGGTTTTGTGTTTAAGGTTTTGAGAAAGTGGGTGTTACAATTGAGATAAACTGTAATCCCACAGCTGTAAATTTAAGCTGTATAAAGTTTATCTGCAATTTGTTTAGATCTTCTAGAGTTGAAAGAACTAAGACTTATGGAAATCCTAAAGGTTATATGACACAATCTACTATATGATTACAAGTCCCCAAAATGAAACATCAGGGGAACTTCCTCTAACAGCTTTTATGAGCTTGAACTGTGGTTATAAATTGACCACCATTTGCAGAAACTGTGACAATTCTTTCCTGTCGCAACAGTCAAAAACTTCTTTAACAGCTTTTATCCTACCAAGATTCTCACCTTCAGTCATGTATTTACCAGAAAGCTTGTGTAAACCTCAAACATTTGTGTCAGTATCCTATTATGTTTAATGTAAAAAGCAGTGAATAGTGAGGAATGTTCATAAATCCATAAGCAGGCAAACAAATAGGTGTGAGGGCTTTAAGAACATGCTGTTCAAGTCAGCAACCTCCCTTATTCCCTTATAAATGTTCACCTGTAGAGTTGGCAGAAGGACACTTGGCAGTTTAATCGTACTGAACAGATGCATTTGCAAAAGAGTCACTCCAGAATGACTCACTTCACTGGTTCTTTGAAATGTTCGGTGAGGATTTCAGTCCTGCTTGTCCAGGTTTAACCTCTCCAAAGGCTCCATATTAAGCAGCATCAGTGTTTCACATGTGCAATATTGTCTCTGCCTTGTGTCAGGATCCATGTGTCAGTTTTTCCACCGGATTTGCTTGAGTAACAAAAAGGAACAAAAATCAGACATTTTAGTTCATAGGAGCAGAACACTGCACTGAAACGTGTGAAGTAACCTGTGGTGGACACTGACAAATTACTGTGAAATGTTAGTGTATTGCTTAGTGTAAAAGTTTTGAAACCATTATTCAGAAATGATTGCTCACTTCCTCTTACCCCGCTATTGAGGAGTTCCTGAATCTTCCTGTACTCGACCGAGTCTCGTTCCAGCTTCTCTCCATAAACAATAAGCTGCTGTCGGTCCTTCAGGTCTCTGTATGTCTGAATGGAAACAGCAAACGCAGTGAGTAACACTGAGAAAGCCACAAACAGCCATACCGACTCGAGAATCAACTCACATTGATGATGACGTCGTGGCATTTATATTTCAGAGCCACGCTGAGCTTGAGTTCTGGGTCGTCGATGAGATTCACATACTCTTGCAGGACCTGCAGATCATGGGAAGCAGTGTTGAAATGCATGCTGGCAGAGACGCAACAGAGCAGGTTCATTACAACATGGAAACTGATGTACCTGTACAGGGGCGCTGTTCTTCTGCAGGATGTCCACCACCCTGTGAAAGCCAATGGGAGACCTTTTCTTGGTGTACCCCAGCCAGTTCTTGGTGTTGAACAGACTATCCACATCAAACCATGATTTCAATTTCGCTCTTGCGCCAAGAGCTCTGAGAATGTACTGCTTTTCTGAAATCTGCCACAGCAAACATGACAGGACAGGTTAATAAAAGAAACTTACTCATGTGCTTACTCATACATTACTAGACAAAAGTTTAGACACACTTGACTGAATTAGTATTTCTAATGACTGGAAACATTTATCTTAGGTTTTAGGTATTTGTAGACAAAAGTACAGGTAGGTACAGGTTTTAGGTATTTGTAGACACTAAAAGAAAACTAACATTTATAAACACATGACTGTTTATCTTACCCGGAAAGTTTTTCTTATGTTTGAAGGGCTGCTAAAAGTTCCCTGTAGAAGAAGACATTTTATTTTAAATACAGTGGGCACCAAATGTATCTGAATTTAAACAACACTAAAATGTTTAAATATCAAACAAGGTATTACTGTATGTACAGTATTTCCAAAATAAATCACATCACAAATTGAGGCTTGTTAGGTTTCAGATTTTAAACTAATAGACATGGGCTTGGTTTCCACAGACACGGTTTAGATTAAGCAAATTGATTTATAGGGTGATTTATTGATTTATAGGACATTTAAGTAGCTTGAAAAAAAAGTAATGTGCCTAAGAAAAAAAAATACATGACTGCATCTTGAGACAAAACAATGGCACTGACATATTTTAAGATTAATTAACAATACTAGCTTAAGCCTTGTCTGTGAAATCAGAGGATATATATATATATATATATATATATATATATATAAATAAGTTTAAACCTGCTTGTTTGAATTAGTATTAAAGGAAATTAATACTTTTAATCACCATGGACACATTCAATTGATCAAAAGTAAAAGTAAAGACATTTATTATGTAACAATATACTGTATATATATATATAACAATATCAAGGTTTCCAGAAATGTAAAGCAGCACAACTGTTTTAAATCATTTAAATAATTGATAATAATAAGAAATATTACTTGAGCAGTAAATCATCATATTAAGATTGATTTCTGAAGGATCAATTGAAAAAAAAAACTGCTGAAAATTCAGCTTTACCATCACAGGAATAATTACATTTTTAAATATATTACAATATTAAACAGTTACTTTACATTGCATTAATGTTTCACAATATTACTTTATGTTTTACTGTATTTTTTTACTCTTGCCTTAGTGAACATAAGAGACTTCTTTTTAAACCATTTCAAAACTAACTATCGGTAGTGTATTTTGTAAGACTATATTATATTACATTATTTGATATATATTGTTATACTATATATTGAGTTTGCCTACATAATATAATACAATAAAGCATGAGTGAAGCATGAGCTTGTACCTCTGACTCTCCGTAATGGTAAAAGCAGGAGTAGTACAGTGTGGTGATGATTGGCATATTAAGGATAGATGCTTTTCTAGGGAACTTTTTAAAGATATCTGCATCTGCCTTCTTGTCACTAGCCTGAAAAGACAAAGACATTGAACATAAGAATTAAAGGAATTTATGAAACATGCTGTGATATACCCTTAATGTTACATTATGAACGTAGTATAAAACACGGTGAAAATGCACAAAATATTGTGCAATTTAGGCTTTATGAAGACACCTTCTCCCCCATTGTTAGAAAACGTCTAGGGCTTGATGCATGTTACAAATGCAATCTCTATTCCATAAATCTGACTGAATCAAGGCAGTTGTGCAGAAAATATCATGGCCCTCATGCAAAGCCACAGTGAGTAGCACACACAGGATGTGTGAAACAGAAAATACACAATGTTTCAGTTTGAAGCAAACTGAATCACACTTGTTCATAGGTGCTATTACGCAATCTACGGAAACATCTGCCGTGTAACCCAATTTGAGAGAAGCCCATCCCTTACACTTCCCTCTGTACAGAGCGACCCGTCACCTATCACACCACCCTCAGGAAAGAGGAAGAGTGAGGTGGTGAATAGGAAATATCTCTTTAGCAACACTGTAAGGTGAGGCAGAAATAGAAAAGCAGAAAACCATTTTGTTGACACATGTGTGTATGTGTATAAAACTTGCACACACTCACACATACATAAACTGTATACATGTATAAATTTAACAATATACTGTATATAAATATCATGTAATGCGATTTGACAGCACTAATTATATTATATTACATAATTAAAATTACCAATACATTCAGTAATTTACAGACTTACATTTGCGGTCAAAGGTTTGGACATATCTGGAATTCTTTAAAAAAACAAGCTAAATTTTATAATTTGATTTAAATGGATGAGTTTAAATTATTTATTGGTCCATCCATTGGTGTTAGTTCATGGTTTTAATGACTTTAATATTACTCTAAAATGTGTATAAGCAATGTAATAATACATAGGTAGGTGTGTCTTATCTTTTGACTAGTTGTGAATGAGTAGTTGGACTCGTTCCCTCACCTCTATGATTATTTGCCTCTCGAGGAGTGTATAGTGGTCTTGAACGAGAGTGGCATCGTCATGAGAAAAAGGAAGGCTGAGAAAAACAAAACAGCAACATGACATGGATCAGTTTATCATCGAATGATTGTGAACTCTCGACTGAATCACTCTGAAAGATCACTACCTGAGGCAACTTTTGAGGAAGTCTCTTCTTCGCCCTTCATCCTTAATATTCAAGTGCTCCTTGTATTGGATCAACTGTTTAAAAATACAAAGAGGACTTTTTAATCAACGTGTGATCAAACCGAAATGTCACTTCCCCAACTTCCTCTCCTTTCACTTTATATTAAAATAAATGAGAGTGATGAGACAAAGCAGAATTCTTCCTCTTTTCACTTCTATAATGTCATAAACTAATTTCAGCTTTCATTAAACTTTTATAATAGGATAACATTTTTTACAGTTTCTATTCTACTTGTTTTTTTTCTAAGCAAAACACTTAAATGTAATCAACATTTAATTTAATATTTTAACATTGCCTCAAGATAACACATATATATATATATATATATATATATATATATATATATATATAATTGTGTTATCTTGAGGCAATATTCAAATATTTTATAAAATATTCAAACAATTAATTGCGTCCAAAATAAAAGTTTTTGTTTACATAATATATGTGGGTGCACTCTGTATAATTATTTTATATATATAAATACACACACATGCTTGTATATATTTAAGACATATTTCCATGTATATACTGTAGATGGATTTATATATAGTTTATATTATATATAAATATTTGATATATAAATAATATTTTTTTCTTAAATATACATGCATGTATATATCACAAGGGAAAATATGGTACTTCCCCAAGAAAGAGGAAGTATTTGCATTTTCATTAGTTAATATTAGGCTCTCCTTTCCGATGACGAAAGGATTTAGAATTGGGAGGTGCATTGTTTTGGAGCAAGCCATACCTTCTGGAGGCAACACTGTACCATAGAGGGTTAAATAAAGCATTGGTCATGTGTAAACTGTACAAGCTATGAGTATAATGACAGGTGTTCAATGAGAATTTAAGCTCCTTACCGCCATATCTTCTGTCCTGCCAAGAGCCCTAAAATACAGTCAGATGAGCAATGTCATTAAAGGCAGTAATTCAAATAAAATGCACACAACAAAACAACCCTTCAAATCAAACTACCAATGCATATATGGAGAGATGTCAAGCGTCCCGGCACTAAAAGATCATAGACACATAAATTATTTTTAAAACAGTGAACTTACTTCAGTAACTCCACCAAAAGCTTTTGTTCTCCCGTCTCTTTTAAATAGTGAACGTAATGACGCAAAGCCACATCTCTCGCCATTAACTCTCGAAAGAGGATTTCTGCAACAGTGACAAAAAACACGATGTTCTAGAAAACATTTGATCTATTTTGAAAATAAAAAGGAACTGGTGAGCAAAGACAGGATCAGGAAACATCTCACCTTTACTTAATGACCTTTTTAGATATATCAAGACCTGCAGTATGAGAATGTAAAGGATCAGTGAATAAGCATAGTGTAAACAAGCTGTTTCTAAATCATGGCAGTGCTTCTGTAGAGGGTTAGTATGTGAAGCGCAGCTCACAGCAGTGATGACGTTGCCATCATAAACAGCGACGGCTTCATCCAGCAGCAGAAGTTTGTCCTGCAGAGAGTGGAACTTTTCCAGGGAGAATGCCTGTAACAATCATTTTTATGAGATGCAAAAAGCTTCTTTTTCCATTGACAGGAAGCATTCAAAAGCAACCATGTATTCTGACGGCGCTATACACGTTTTTTTGCCAGTAGCATAAATTCATGACTAATATTTCAATGTATTACAGTATATTTGACCTGTCTGTGATTCTTTTTTGGACGGCTCATGTAAAATGGAAATGTAGGCCCTCCATCTACTTATCAACTGTTATTGAGAATGGAAATAAATAAATGGCTTTATCTAGGTATTCTATTAAGGTATAACTATTTATGGGAGAGTTGAACCAAAAATACAAATTCTGTCATCATTTACTCGTCAAATGTACTATGCAGGTTTGGAACAACTGAGGGTGAGTTAAAGGAGTTTAAAAAAAAATTGCTGATAATTTACTCACCCCCATGTCATCCAAGATGTTCATGTCTTTCTTTCTTCAGTCAAAAAGAAATTAAGGTTTTTGATGAAAACATTCCAGGATTTTTTCCATATAATGGACGTTACTGGGCACCAAACGGTTCAAGGTCCAAAAGACAGTTTCAGTGCAAACTGCAAACTGTTCAAAGGGCTTTAAACGATTCCAGACGATGAATAAGTGTCTTATCAAGCGAAACGATCAGTCATTTTAAAATAAAATAACAAAGTTTAAGTTTTATAAGCACAAATGCTTCCCTTGCTCTGTTCTGTGACTCTCCTGTTCGAACTCATTTATCAAAATTAAATGAACAAATATTTTTTCTGAGTCAATTGGTTCATTCAACGAAGGAAATGAACGAATTGCCTCTAAAAAGATTTGTTCATTTTGACGAACGAGTTTGAACAGGAGAGTCACACTTAAACTTTTTTTGAAATATTTTTTTTAAATGATTAATCGTTTCGCTTGATAAGACCCTTATTCATCGTCTGGAATCGTTTAAAGCCCTTTCAACAGTTTGCAGTTTGCACTGAAACTGTCTTTTGGACCTTGAACCGTTTGGTTACCAGTAAAGTGCATTATACAGAGAAAAATCCTGAAATGTTTTCATCAAAAACCTTAATTTCTTTTCAAATAATCTACAAAAAGATATTGGATGACATGGGGGTGAGTAAATTAAAAGTGTTTTTTTAAAAAGTGAACTACTCCTTTAATGATGATAGAATCATTGATTGTGAACTGTCCCTTTAAATGGATTTTCAGGGGCAAAATATATGATTCACAACTCTTTGCTGCCCCCTACCCGTCCTTTCTGCATTCTCCTCACGGTTTCCTCTGGACTCAGGTTGCTGACAAAATCCTATGGGCATTTAGATAACACGTCAATGTTAGAGACTGGCAAAGTAAAATATTTTTTACCCTCCAAACATAAACTACCAGTCAAAAGTTTTTTAATTTTAAATTCATACTTTTATCCAGAAAGGATGCACTGAACTGATCAAAAATGACATTAATGTTTTAACGGATTTCTAGGTTACAGTGTAATTATTATACATTTAAGTACTGAGAAATATTAACTGACTGCATGCACTTACTGTAGGGTTAGAATTATGATTTGGTTTATCTAGGGTTAGATGCATGTAATTCAACATAATTTACTGTTACAGTAAATATGTTACCTATAGTAAGTACATCTAGGACACTTTGGTGTTCATTTCTATTTCAAATAAAAGCTGCTTCTTCCTTCTTATCATCAAAGAATGTTGAAGAAAATGCATCACGGTTTCCATAAATATGTTTTCAACCTTGAAAATGATAAGAATGTTTTTCTTGAGCAGTAAATCATCATATTAGAATGATTTCTGAAGGATCATGTGACACTGACTGAAGTAAAGATGCTGAAAATTCAGCTTTACCATCACAGGAATAAATTACATTTTAAAATATATATATATATATATATATATATATATGTCACAATATTACAATGATCAAATGAAAGCAGCCTTGGTGAGTTTAAGAGACGTCTTTCAAAATAATCTTACCAAGGCCAAACCTTTAAAAATGTTCATATGCATTACCTTTCCATCTGACCTGGGCTTCCTCAGCTCTGGTGCATATGTTCTAGTAGATGTGTCGCTAAAAGCTAGAAAACCGGGAACAACGCACACTTAATTATAACACAAGAGAATTTAGGCCAAAAAATCTGAAATGCTTCAATGACTTGATCTTACACTCTGAGAAGGACTGGAAAGCGCCAGGTTTGCTCCTTGCTGAGGGAATATGAACAGAATCAGATTGGTGGGTCTATAATGATTAAACTTAAACATTCAAGCACTATATATTACCTTTAAACAGGGAACTCAGGGAATATCCGGACCCTTGTTTGGACAGTGAAGGAGTGGTGTCTATTTTGGGAAAGCTCTGCTCACTCCCTGAGCGGATACTGGAGGCAGTTTCCTTGACCGACCAAGAGATGCCTTCACACAAACAATAACTGATGAGCATCCAGATGAGGTACAAAGATCATAAAAGGTTCATTTTGAACAAATCTTTAATATGACATGGGTGCAAAGAGTTGTTTTACAATGTGTTTAGTTTATTTTGTGTAATGTGCATGCACTGTGCATGCGCATCACATGACGAGATTGCCACATTGGATACAAAAAATAGTTAATAATTCCTAATCTTCCTTACAAACAAGCATGTAGTTTGTTTCTGTATATATATATATATATATATATATATACAGTTACGTTATGTGTTTATGGTCTCAAATTTCTTACAATTGATACATTTCTGAATTTCTGTGATGATGTCCCCCCCCCCCCCCATAACTAGTGATGAACGAACGACCCGAAGCATAGGGATTTGACGTGACAAAAGAACGAACGACTGCATAGCCTGAAGACCCAGCTAAGCAAAATTTCAATTAATTTCTGCTAAAATAAACCAAATGATTTTAAAAAAGATTTGTTCATTTAGCTGAATGAAACTTAAAAATCAGGGTCAGTAAAATGATACAAACTTCCCATCACTAGTGCAAACATTGAAGACAGTAAGAGAGAAGGGACTGCATACTTCCCACAGGTTCCCCAGTCCAGCTGACTCTCTCAACGTCATCTTCATCGTCATCATCATAATCACCCACCAGAATGCTGTTCACAGCCCGTTTGGACTCTTTCAGCTGGAAAATATCAACACAACAATGTCTGAATCAACTGTGGGCCACAAAGGTGTTCTAGTGGAAATGTGCAGAAAATATGAGAGGAACATGTCAAAATAAATATTTTACAAAATACTTTTTCACAGTAAAAATAGGTCAAATATTTTTAAATGACTTCTAAATAACCTTCCTTTCTTGAAACATACATAACGTATGCTGAAAAAAAATGTATCTTTCTAGGGAGTTTTTCCTCACCAACGTCACCATTTATTTTACTCATTTAAAATAATGAATTTATTCACCCAATTTACTGTAATGTACATGGTAATTAAACAGTAAAAGTAAATATGTTACATGTAACATTTCAGTCTTTTGATTTGGCTAAAATAGCTGACATTTCATTTGGGAAATGATTTGTTGTCTTGTCACTGTACACTATGGTTTTAAGGCTGCAGTCATTCTCCACTGTTATACTACGTGCTTTGGACTCCATAGAGCTGAGAACAGAAACACAATGAACTTACTCTTGAAAACTCATCGTCATCATCATCAAATGTGAACGCTTTAAATTTAGAGCTGTTCCAGTATTCATCATCCTCTGGTTTGGCCCGTGTCATCTGAAAAACATACACAATGTATCGCTATGTTTATTTACAGTGAATCATCTGATCTGTCCAAACGCAGAAGCTTACAGCTGCAAGACACAAGCTAACATTTAAATATTCTTTTCATGTGCATTAATATTATTGCCTACAAATGGTAATATGGTTTTATTAATCGCCATATAACATATTTACCTTCGAATTATTACAATGAAAATCTACTCATGAAACGTCAGATTTCTTTCCTACTACTTCCTGGTTCCAACATGTCGCCAAAATAAAAGTTCGCTTTGTAGTTGATTATTTAGAATATATTTTGAATACATTTACAGACAGTGATCATAAATACATGGCAAATTACATTATTATTTTCAGATATTATTGCTGGCTATTTTAGGGGTCCAAACAACAACATATAAAGTACACAATTTAATTAGTCAAGATAATATACAGCATACAATTTCTGAAAGTAGCCTACTTATTTATCTCTACAAACGTTTTACTCTTGTGGTATAAATAATAAAACAAACACGTACAGTATGTGTTAAAGTCACTATGAAATTAAAATAGACTTAAATAGTCGTATTTTCTATGGAATATTTATTTGATATATATTTATTTGAAATATATTTATATCACCAATTTTTTTTTATTCATGTGTCCTCATAATCTTTAATCAAAACAAGATCCCCTTCCTGGGATCTGTGGAAGATATGTGCAATGACATATCTTCTCTGATGATCTGTTTACTGGCGTGATGGCGGGACAACCTACCTGTCACTCATATGACATCACAGTAATAGCAAACCACAACCTCCAACGATCAAATATCAGATCCCACCCTACATTTTTTTTCCTCATAAAAAGAAATAGAAGCTCAGATATACATAATTTATATAACAATAAATATAAAATTATGATGTATCAAAAAAATAAATAAATAAACTATGACAAGTGTACTGTTAAGTTGTGTATTTAGAAGTGCATTAAGTCAGTAAACAGTCAAATTTTAACAATCCATTGTCATAAAATGTACATTTTTAGTATAAACTTCTAAACATCTTGTTTAGTTAAAAAAAAAAATCTCTTTAAACAGGATTTAGATCACCAATATCACATCATCAGACACAAATACAGCTTCAAAATACATACGCCTTGGGCTTTCCGGCCCTACTAGACACTGAGGTCTAAAAAGGCCAGTCATGTCAACCTGCCAGACACAAAGCTGACTGTAACAGGCACAAAAAGAAAGTAAGTGGCAGCCATCTCACGGCTGACTGTCACATAAATATATTAACACAATGTAAATCTCCCAGGTGTGGTCTTCTCTGTCGTCCCTCCTACTCATATCCTTCCGGAGCTCCTTCATGGGACTCGAAACTGATGCGTCTCACAGGTGTCACTTATTAGTCTTCGCTCCACCTGCCTCGCTCCGCTCCCACAGCTCTCGGCTTCGTCCTGCTTCACCACAACTGACTGAAGACAGGACTCAACAGGGTGGTCGTGACAGGAGTTGTCTGCTGACTTCTCTGTCTTACTCCATGACCTGGAATAAAAACATAAATCAGTCTTATTTTGTCTAAATACATTACATTTAAATCAAATTTGACTTGGTAACAAGTTTATGATGAGTACAATGAAAACAACAACAACAACCTTAAACCAGTCATGGAGATGCATCTTCTTCAGAATGGGGCTTTGCTGTTGCCAAGGCTGCAGACAATCACGAATCATCTGGCAGCATTCTGTGCAAAAAAGACAAGATGTTTTGAACATTAGCTTGTAATTTACATATGCACTCTTTAAAGCTCTTGGACAATTGTCCATCTTTGTTCTTTGATGAAGATCTCACCATGTGATAGGCCACGTCTTTTCCAAATGTTTGCCTTGATCATACAGGTCTCCTTCTGGCTCCGCACACCATTGCAAACAGGAGGATGCCTAGAGACCACACTGTTGTACCTGCCGTAGAAATCGACCTCTGGAGGACAGTACAGCTCTATGCCTGGAGGAAAAAGATTATGATATTTAATGCATTTCAACAGCATGTTGTCTGTTGTCATAGGATGCGTTTATGTGAGCTAATGAACAAAGCGGTTCATATCACATACCACTGAAGACATCGAAGAAGGCAGTGTTCTTCATGAGTGCACCGCACCCAAAGTCAATCAACTTGACCTCCATGGTGTCCTGGTTCACCAGCAAGTCCTCCAGTTTAATGTTGTGATGGAAGACAAAATTTGAGCAGCATGAATGACCTGGCGCATAACATGTCGTGCAGTCTGCTCATCGAGGATCCCTCCATGATGGAGCTCCATGAAACTAAACAAGTCCATGCAAGGAAAGGGCCGTTCCACGACCATGATGTAGTGGTCTGTGTTGTCCTCTCAGTCCAGCAGTTTAATTATCTGAGGAACCTGGTGACCCTTATTGGCCATCAAGTGTATAGGCATCAGAGGCCGTGAATTGTAGAGACCCCAAATTTAGCAGGATTGTCTCAATCATGCACCACATGCATATCTAAAACTAGGTGGCTCTATAAATGGGTGATTTGCGTTTTGGGTCATACCTTTGGAACACTAAAGGGGCTAGAAATAATTTTATCGAGTGTTTTTTCCTGAATCTTGAGCTCTAATTGATGTTTATGTATAAAATGTATTCTCCATTTTAATTTTCTGAAAACCAAATTTTTGTCAAACTCCTCCTAGGCCTTGAGTCAGATCTGCTCTATACAAAGCTGAAGACATATTTGTCAAGTGGACAAAAATGACATTGTATTGCTGTCCAATAAAAAGAAAAACAGTTTACATTTTATTATGCTTGGCACCAATTCCTACTGTCTTTATCTGATTCTGTACTATCTATTATCTTTTGTATGGTCAAATGAAAAGGAGATTAATAAAAATAATAAAGCAGAGCATTATATCATGCGTGATTCATTTACTAGTGAAGTCCAGTGCCATCCTGAGGATTTTGTAATTGCAATTAATGAACATTGTATAAAATAGTCAATATCATACTACAGTTCTTGACCAACAAGAATGTGATATTAGTTACAGAATAAGCGGCCAACAGAAAGTAGTTTTTAACCCATCAAGACAAAAACAGAAAACTTAAATTTCCATATATGGATTCATCAGTTATTATTAATCATTCTCTTAATTATCGAACACAAAATGCTTAAATTTAGAATAGAACTGTTCAAAAACATTATGAAATTCTTGGTTATGCACAAAACGGTAACAATTTACTTGAAGGGGTGTGCATAAGTCTAACATGACCCCTTCATAATCATGACATAACATATGTTATGAATATGAAGTTTTATGCATGTTTGTGACAACTGTCATTAAGTGTCATTCACTAAGTTTTAATGCAAATATGACATTGTTTGAGATGTCTTTGTTATGACACCTTGACATAAACCATAACCGGTCACTGTCATAACAACTTGACATTGCTAAGACAACACAACATGTCATAAACATGACATAGCAGATTAATTATCAAACTTAAGAAACCATTTAGCTTTATATGTAACATTACATTAAACTGTCATGTGGTTGGTTTATTATAACCTTTTAATGACCAATTCAATTAGTACCACTGTAGTTGGTCACAAAAAAAATTCAGGACAGTTATAATGGCCTCATGACGGCCAATGTCAAAGCCAAACACATGACAGTTTAACTTAATTTTATGTCAAGTTGTCATGACAAAGACACTGACAGGTTACGATGTTATGGTTTATGTCAAGATGTCATAAGACATCTTAAACAATGTCATATTTGCATTCAAAATGTCATTATTGAGCGAAAGACGCTTAATGACAGTTGTCATAAACATGCATGAACCCTACTTCATATTCAAGACATATGTCATGTCATGGTTATGAAGGTGTCATGTCAGTCTTATGCACACCCCTTCAAGTAAAGTGTTACCAAAAAGACTGTCTGGTAAATGTGTTGTCAACAGCTTCCAAACTGCTTACTCGATGCAAAAACAAAAACAAAAAAACAAAAAAAAAACTGTTAAATCTCAAAAACACTGGCATTACCATTATCATTAAAGGAGCATTTCACCCATTGCAACATTAATCTTTATTGAAAGTGGATCATAAATGTAGTCGAAATGTGAAAGATTTTTGGTGCCCTCTTGACCAAGAAAAGACAGAAAATAACCAAGGCGCGCATCTGAATTAAAGACTACAGGTCCCACAATGCACCGCATTGCATAGCTCCGCAAGCCACACCCACTAACACACTCCAAACAAGATGGCGGATATTGATTTTAGTTTCTGCAAGTGAAGTCCCACCCACTGATCTGTAATAGGCCTGTAGGGTGAGTGGGTCCCACACCCTGGAATAATAATGAGCTAATGTTTGTAGTTCATAAACTTTCTAATGAAATATGACTTCCTGCTTATCGTGACAAAATGACAATTTTTACATCACGATAAGCAGGAAGTATAACACTTAAATCCTTATTTCTCTTATCTCAGGGGAAAATAAGGGAATAAACCATGGCCATTCAAAAATATGAGTGGGTTTTTAAAGATATAAAGCTTAATGCAAATGGGTGAAGTGTCCCTTTAAGTGTAATATTTTCAGCAACTAATCAAACAAGATGTCACACCGACTTAAATTGACCAAAGACTAATTTTAGCCTAGATATGAAAGATTCAAATTCAACAATAAAAGCACAACAGGTACTCTTTTATTGTTCGTTCAAATTTATGTGGCTAACAAGTCAATAATTACAAAGATTTCAACCTGTGATACTTTTTTTTTTTCCTTTTAAAGTAAAAGCAGTAGTGTTCTGAGGATAAACTTCCATCTGATGAAGCGCACAAGTGAAGAATGGGAGGGGAAGGAGGTACAGGTAAAACCATTCACACAAAATTATTTCCTTGGCCTAAAAAAAAAAAAAAATGTGCAAGTGTTTTACAGTATTTCAGAAGGGTGGGGGTCAACATAATACATTACCGTCAGCCTCGTCAAAACCACTGAAATGCTTTAGCGGACAGTTTATTACTGAAACAGAAGTTGGCACTGAAGGCACACTTGAGTGATAATGGATATGCCGGCCATGCATGCGGATCTCAAGCATGTCAACACACAAACTCATATCGAGTCTTTAACAGTGACGGTCCCACATGGCTGCTCGCATGTGTCAAACATCAGAAACCAGAATCAGAGCATGGCTATGGTGAGATAACCTTATCACATATATATTTTTACTTTTATTTTTAAATAGAGCACACAAAGCAGCAGTAGCAGCTTAAGAAGAACTACTGAAATCCTATGAATAGTTGATAGCTGTGTGCCGTTCTCTTATTAAAACACTTATCTATATGTAAAGTCTTCATTTTTGTTGCTTTCTTTTTTCTCCGGGTGATAAGCTGAATTAGATATCTTTGTGGGAAACATCTAAGTTAAAACATGAATATTATAAAGGCTGGTTTAAATGAAGAACTGGAGAGAGAGAGAAAGAGGAATTATATGACAATAAAAGTGCCCTCTGGTTTGGCTTTAAACCCCTAAAGTCTCTGTCACCGATCTATTGCTCATATGAGATGAGGCGAGACGTTTCACAGGGTTTGTGACGAATCATGTTATGAGTCCAATTGGTTTATACAAGAAAGTCACAGTCCTATATCACCCTCGGTTCCTTTCTTCCTCATACGCTCCTCTCTTCGGCCCCCTGGCCTTGATGAGTGTTCCTGATAATATACATTTAAAAACAGCATAAGAAGTCTCTTTCTGAAGGGAAGCTATGAATCCAGAAGCAATTCTGACACAGCAGATGCAATGCATGTTCATTTACTAAAGTAAAAAAATTGCAATTAAGATTTCAAATAAAATAAATGTCCATTATACTAATCTGACCCAGTTAGTGTAATACCATTGACATTTCCAGCAGGGGGCAGGCTTTTATATTGTATCTTTTCTTTTTCTTTTTTTTTCGGTGGCTCTGACACGCTCAGGTGTTTCGTCTAAGCCTGCCGGCACAAACTCAACACGTTTCACTTGTGGCGATTGATGCGTCTACCCGGCAACAGGATTTAGGGTAAACCTTTGGCCGTTGTGTTGAGTGAGCAGGTGACTTGGAAGAGTCTTGGCACTTTTTAGTGAGTCCTAGCTGAGCAGATTGATTGGGGGTGGGGTGTGCCTAGGGTGTGTGCAGGGTGAAAAAGAGGGACTTGTCCTTTTTCAGCCGTCCAGTGATTGATCCAGGCTGTCCAGAGTGAGCTGACTGCGGTGGGGAGAGTTGGGGCTCGGGGGGCTGCTGGGGTTGGAGCTGTTGGAGGGGGTGGAATGTTTGGTCGAGTCAGAGTCGGGCTACAAGAAAAAACAAAACAAGATTAGCAGATCAGTTTCTTGTTAACAAATTCTTGCAAAGTATAAAATACCAAGTGGGTTTTTACAGAAGTATTGTTTGTTCCCTCAAACTAAACCTATAAAAAATATTAAATACAACTCAAATAAAGTAAAGATATTCAATTAAAAACATCAACTTTAACTTGAAGGTAAACTTAAACCTACTAAATAACAAAATAACCAAGTTATAAGGGGTGTAACGATACCTTCATGTCACAATTCGATACATATCGCAATACTGAACTTATAATTGGATATTTTTGCGATACTCCAAGACAAAAGGATAACAAAAAATGTACTAAAATGCTAAATTTGAAAAAAAAAAAATGTTAAAACGCTAAATTTGATATTACATTGTTGGTGTAAATGAATAGACTTGGATTTGGTGTTGGAAACCCAATGCACAGGACAATGGTGACACTGGAATAAAAATATTCATGATTCTGATGCCGAAAATGCTTGCATTCTGTCACTGAGTATATATATTTTTAAAATAAAGTAGGCCACTTTTTACACAATTATAATTATTCCCATATTGCATAATTATACATTATACTGTATATAGTAGTTTAATGTAGCACTGACACTTAAACTCTGAAAACTAGAATTTTTTCTCACACAGAAATTTAAATTTTTGGGTGAACTGTCAATGACACATTTGGTCACTATCCACAATACGTTGCATTTTGTATTGCGTTATATTGTTACAATATACTGTTACACCCCTAAAAGCACAACTAATTTACTAAATCTAATATTGAAAATACATAAAAAAATGAAAGCCAATTGAACATATTGATAATAGAACTTAAATACTACTAAAATAACACTGGTTTAGAGCTGTAGAATATATTACTGCGAGAACTGGGGCAGTTATTACAGACCACAAAATGAGGACAAGAAAACTCGCTCAGTAGCCGAAAGCACCTCAAAGCTCCTCTAACCATCCATCATGTCACCTCGAGCAGCGAGTGAATTCAATCCATATTTAACATCACTGGGGAGGTCATTAAGTTCGTACCTC